AGGGGCATCCTGAGGGCAGGGAGGAGGACTGTGAGAGCCCTCCCCGCCCCTCCCAGCCGGCTCCGGCACCTTTCCCGAGGCTTCTCCGTGCTCTTCCGGGCGCACCCAGGAAGTGCTAGTGACCCCGCTCCTTTCCAGAGGAGGAAACTGAGGCAGGGCCGGAAGGTGAGGTCAGCTGTGGTGCTCAAGTTCGTATTCCTACCTCCCCCCAGGAAACCAACCAGGGGGGGCCCCTGGGACTCTGTATCCTGAGGAAGAGAGGTTGCCCCCCCTCCCCCAGGAGCAAGGGCTCCCGTCCTGCTAGGGGTCCCCAGCCTGCAGGGAGCACCCGGGGAGTGTACTCCTCACTCCCTGGTTCTTGGCAGGCCCTGCTCTGCTGAATGGGTCACGGGAACCTTTTGTCGCACTCCGTTATGCGGGGCATTGGCTTAGTGCTTTTCCTGTAGGAACTCATTCATCTCCCCCTGAACCCTGCCTTTAAGAGGAACAGAGCTCAGGCCCGTGGGCTGGCTCGGTGGTTGAACTTCGACCTGTGAAGCAGGACCTGAACCCTGTCTTTAAGAGGAACAGAGCTCAGGCTGGCTCGGTGGTTGAACTTCGACCTGTGAAGCAGGAGGTCAGGCTTGGATTCCTGGAAGCGGCACATGCAGAGTTCCGGGGCTCCATCCCCAGTCGGGGGCGTGCAGGACTCCATCCCCAGTAGGGGGCTGCAGGAGGCAGCCGATCAATGATTCTCATCATTGATGTTTCTATCTCTCTCTCCCTCTCCCGTCCTCTCTGAAATCAATAAACACATATATTTCTTAAAAGGTACAGAGCACAGAGAGGGGCAGGGACTGCACAAGGTGAGCGGAGAGCCAGGATTTGGACCGGAGAGCTGGCCTGGAGGCCACCCCACCGTCCCCCAGCACCTGCTGGAGTCCCAACCCCATTCTTGTCCAATCTCATGGCTCCCAAAACAGCTGCACTTAGACTTCACTGCTCGCCCTCAGCCCCAGCTGTGCACCCCAACGCTGGCTGGGCCTCGGGGGCAGCTTCTGTTCGGGCGTATTGAGAACTGGGAAGCGTCTGAGATTTGACCCCACATGCCAACTAACAACCTAGCCTGCCACCATGCCCTCTGTGCTGGCAGCAGACAGGGCTCCGGGTCAGAGACCAGGGACCCTACTGGCTGCGCGGCAGAAAGCACAGCCTCACGACCCCAGGGGGTCCCAGGCCCGGAACCCCAAGAACCTTGCTCGGGCCTCTGCCTGAGCGACCTCCTGAGCACTGAGTCTGTGGAGCGGGCACACGGGTCTCAGGGCGCCGAGCCCATCCGCCCGCCGGCGGAGCTGGGTGCGTTCTGCTGGCAGCATTGACACTGTGCCTGCGGGAGTCCCGTCAGCGTCTTGGGGAGAATGTGGGCGAGCGCCAGCCACACAGGGTCGCCCTCCTTCTGTCCCCCCCACCTCCATTTTAAGAACCCACTGATCTTTTTTCTGTCTCCATAGTTTCGCCTCTTTCAGAATGTCATAGAGTTGAAATCATCTAGTATGATTTTTAGATAAACGTCGTTCACCTCGTCATGTGCATATAAAGTTCTTCCATGACTTTTCATGGCTTGGAGTTCATTTATTCTCAGTGCTGGACAGGCCACCAGTCCACCGTCAGTACACACTGCAGTTTATCTAGTCACCACTGACGGACATCTTTTTTGTTGTTGTTAATCCCCATCCGAGGATATTTGTCCATCGATTTTTAGAGAGAGCGGAAGGGAAAGAGAGAGACAGAAACATCAATGGGAGAGAGACGTATCGATTGGTTGCCTCTTGCACGCACCCGGACCAGGGCCGGGGAACCTGCTACCAAGGCTGGTACGTGCCCTTGACCGGAATTGAACCCGGGACTCTTCATTCCGCAGGTGGATGCTCTATCCACCGAGCCAAACTGGCTATGGCTGAAGGACGTCTTGATGGCCCCCAGGTGTTGGGCAGTTATGAATAAAATGTCTATAAACATCCCTGGGCAGGTAAATGGTTTTTGTTTTATTTAAAACATACTTTTATTGATTTTAGAGAGAAAGGGAGAGTGAGAGAGAAACATCAATGATAAGAGAGAATCGTTGATCTGCTGCCTCCTGCAGGCCCCACACTGGGGATCGAGTGCAACCCTGTGTGCCCTTGATTAGAATTGAACCCGGGACCCTTCAGTCCACAGGCCGACGCGCTATCCACTGAGCCAAACCAGCTAGGGCGGCAGGTAAAGGTTTTCAGCTCCTTTAGATAAATACCAAGGAGCACCATTGCTTGATCCTATGGTAAGAATTTGTCCACTTTGGGGAGAAACCGCCAAACTTTTTTCTCAAGTGGAGGTTCCATGCTGCATTCCCACCAGCTACGGCTGAGAGTGACTGGGAGTCCCTGTCGCCCCACAGCCTGGCCAGCACTCGGCGCCGGCTCGGGGCCCTGGGCCAAGGAGGACCGACCCTAACCGAGAGGCAGGCGACGCCCAGCGGCTTTTCTCCCCGTGCTCGCTCCGATGCTCTTCTGCACACATTAAAGTCCCCCCCCCACCGCCCCCATCGTTGCTTCTCAGGCCTGGCCCTGAGTTCCCGGACCCGCGCTTCTCGCCCTGGAGCCCGGCCTGGGAGGGTGCAGACCAGACAGACAGTGGAGAGCAGAGTCCAG